AAAGAAGAAGAAGGAGAATAAGAGGAAGAAGAGGTCGCATGGTCGCATCCTCAATAGTGGAAGAGGAGGAGAAAGTGAACAGAGAAGTTGGGAGGAGATGATCAATAGAGGGAGGTAGAAGAATGAACGAAGTTGAGGAGGTGAAGAAAAAAAAATTAGCAGAGGGAGGGAGAAGAAGGAACGAAGTTGAGGAGGTGAAAAAAGCAAAATTGGTGAAGGGAGGGAGAAGAAGGAATGAAGTTCAAGAGGTGAAAAAAGTAAGGTTACTTTGAGTTTTTAAGGATTTAAAAAATTAAGATTTTAATATTTTATCTAAAATTTGAGGGAAAAAATGGTTACTTTGAAGAGTATGAGAATTGAACCATGTACTCTACCCTGATAATTAATAAACTTTCCTTTACCCGTAAACTGGAGCCACGTTTTATGAGTATAGTACAAATTAAATATACTATAATAAAACACAAAGATATAAAAAATAAAAAAATTAAATAGGTAGGCACGGCAACTTGTGGATGTGCCTACAGCCCACCCGTTTATTTTAGTAACCTGTCTGTTTGAGCCTGCCTATTTTGCACACTTTTTGGACGAGCCTAAATGGGCAAATTTTTTGAGAGCCACGGCAGGTAATGCGGGTTGCAAGTTACTTGCTCAGTCTTAATTAGATATTTCAAGAGTACTCACGAAGTCATTTTCTTGAAGCCCTGATCTAGTCTCTTCAAATATGTAAGCCTTAATAAAATATTTATTATTTTTGCATCAAGTCTTATCAAAAAGTCAAACTCCTAATTAAATGATAAACTTTCAGTATTTATTTAGTGATATATTTTCCTAATATAATTTTATATTTAATTTAGTTTTAAATATAAAATCCCAATTAATTTTGTTCCTATGTTTTTTTTTATCAAATGGTAATTCTAGTTAACATAAATAATTTTTTGTGTAAAAAAGGAGATTGCATTAAAACAAAAACCAATATACCTCAAAAAATCCAAGACAACTAAAGCAACAAAAAAACATAGCGAAAACAACAGGGACAAAAATTGCAAACAACATTCTTCCAATAACAAAACAACAAAAGAACAAAAACAGTAATGCAAGCATCCTCCAATGTCAATGGAGCTCTAGGTCTCTTTCATGAGAGTAAAGGAGATCATCAAGATAGCACAAAAAAAAAGCATTGGCCAAATATCAATCCAGAGGAGCCACAAACAGAACAGAGAAAAACTAGGATTAAGGGGTTAAAAACCCAACCATAAAGCCACAAACCTATTAATCAACTCATGAGTTTAACCAAAGAAGCTAAGTTCCAACACTCAACATTTTTCATAAAAGATATGTGTTTAAGAAGAAAGCTCTGCCACCTGCAGCTTAGTAGCCAAAATAAAGAACCAAGGCATTTTATCCTCTGGATTTCCAATCAACGAGTAACTCATCATCTAAACCGTAGAAAAAACACTCCTCATCGTCATTTCAAAACCATGTGTCCCCACAAATGCCCTTACCTGAATTCTAAGATAAAAAACAGAGACATCTAGGTGGTACTCACGGTGCATCATCCTTATTTTTCAGAAAGCCTCTACTGAAAGCCACAAGGAAGCTAAGCAATTCACCACACTTCGAAAACCACATCACCCCAACAAAGCTTGACGCAACAAAAACAACCGAGTTAATATTAAATGTCAGGTTAAAATCAATCTTCTCAAAAGCATCCCTGTCATGATAAGAGAGAAAACTAAAGCCCTAAATAACTGTTGACAAACCTGCAGTAACCATTAGCTCAACAAACATCAAATGTTCAGACCAACAAAAATCAAAACTATCAACACCCTTGGTTGCAATTTCAGAAAAAAATCTTCAATCGTCAAACCCATCGAGAGGCATAGATTACTGCAAATAGCATAACGCACAATGAAAATCTAGCAAATAAACCATACAAGGAGTTTACAGTGAGGTTTTTAAAAGAACTAGAATTTTTCACCTCACAAGACTTTGACAGGTTTATTAATTATATTCATATCTCCACCACAAGACCCCTCACTTTCTACAGGTTTCATTCCCAAATCTCCTTCTCTTATCAAATTGTCTTAATTTGCAATCATTTTGAAGATCTAGAATAGACGCATTTCATTTTAAAGGAATCACCAGATCTGCATGTGAGATATTGATCTTCCCTTCGCTCATCCTCCTTCCAACATGGCCAATCTCGACCTTAGAACTTCAATCCCAAACCGTCTTTGATATATACTATAACAACTACTTTTTACCTCTCTTATTCACTTCCGTTATAAACAACAGAGGAGAAAAATTATCATTCTTGTCTGTTTTGTAAAGCAGACAAAAAAAAGTAAGCTATTCTCGTCTGTTTTTAATAAACAGTCGACAAGAAAAAATTTTCTCCTCCGGTTTTAAAATATAGACAGGAATATGTTAATATTCTCGTCCGTTCTGTAAAAACAGAGCAGAGGGTGTTTTTTTAAATTATTATTTCAGTACATACATCTTCATATCTAAAGCTTAGAGACGCAGTTACCCTTCTTCTCTCCAGCTTGCGGTCGACGCTCTCTCCCATTGAAGCTTATGACGCTGTTTGCTCTTCTCAGTAGCTCACAACTTTTCTTCCCTCCTTCTCCAGCTTGCAGTGGTCTCTCCGTTCTTCTCCACCTACGGTAAGGGCTAAAGTTGTTGGGTTTTTGCTTGCTCTTTTTTTGTTTCCTAAATCGAAAATTAGTTACTGAGTATTTGCACTGAATCTGCTTTTTTATTTTGGTGTTTCTATTTCAATCATTAATTTCATTGGTTTATGAGTGTTTGAATCATGAATATGGGTAGAGTTTTTGGCTGCTGCTCTCGAACCCTTTACATTTTGCCACTCTGCTCCCTAACTTAGTTCTAATCTTCAAGAGCTTCAACCACGGTGGAAGAAGTATTTAGATCCTTAATTCTGTTTTAATTTTTATCAATAATTCCTAGTTTTCGATCTATCATTCATTGATGTTTTTCAGTTTGTTTTCCTTTCAGCAGAGTAACAAGGCTTCTCTGAAGTAGCCAAAAGTGTTTTTAAGGTACACAAATTTGAAATAAATAAATTTATTTCTTCGTTTGTTTTCTTTTAAGTTTGTTGTTCTTGTTTTGTTTAATTTGTTTGTGGCTAGCTGCTTCAGCATTGAAGCTCGAAGAAATCTGGGAAGGGAAATGGGCCTGGAAAAGGAGGTAATGGCTTTTGGAAGTCTATTGGACTTGGATTCAAGACACCCAGGGAATCTATTATTAAAGGTTTCCTCCCTGAATCCTATTTTATACCTGTAAAAATTCAGCCATTTTTTCAATCTCCAATTTAGCAGCATTGTAAGTATATTTTTGTGGGTTAAAGGTTGGATGGTAAGTTTTACTGTCAGTTGCTGGCTATTTATCATCCTTCTATCTTTGCAATGTCATTGCGGGATAAGTAGATTTCCCAGATTTTTTTGACATGTCAATATGTGATCTTGATACTTAGTTGTAACATGGGTTGATACAGTTGCAAATCTGTTTTGGTGACGGAGCAAATGTTGAGTGAATGAGATTATTGTTTCTAGACAATAAACATATCTACTTACTCTAGCCATGAGAATGTGAATAGGAAAGAGCACATTACTCAGCCACCTGAAGGAGTTTAATATCCCAAGAAGGTACTTCAGTTTTCTCTTTGCATCTCATGTTATTTACTTTCCAATTCAGATTTATTGAATTAAGACATGTTTGATTAACTCACAAAGCTTGTTACTCTGCTAGTATATATGATCTGTGTTCCCTTTTTTGGCCTTTGGGCTTTCTTAGGTCATAAATTACATGTTCTGTTATATTTGTGCTTGTTCATTGATTATCTATGATTGGAAAAAATTTAATCTGCAGGGAAAAATTACAGTATAAGATTCCAAGCTAATGTAAGCAGACCATTTTACGGGTCTTATTCTTTTCATTTTCTTTTTGCTCATGGGAGACAATGTTTTTATGAATGTTTACTTACCATTTAGCTGCCCTTGAACCAGTTTTGATCAATAACTTATAAAAGGAAACTGAAACTTTTTCTGTCTAGAATTATACAGCTGTAATTTGGTTTTATTTGACCCAGTAATACACTTTATATAGTCTTTGAAGTTTGGTTTTATTTGACACAATAATATACTTTTTATTTTCAGTATTTTCTTGGCAAATCAAAAGGTAGGGTCTCTTTAAGATTTGGATTAAATAATGATGAGCCAATGCGTTGATAGTTGATTTTTTGTATTGTAATTGCGATGATTTCTTTTATTGATCTTTGGACAGACTTTTTTTTTTTTATACCGAATACAGTGTAACTATTTCTGATTAATTTCATTAGATATATTAAAATAATTTTATATGTAATAATAATAAGTAGAGGACATTCAAAAAAAATCTTTTTTTTTAAATCACTTTTCTTGTCTGTTTTTATAAATTTTACTTCTGTTTTGTAAAAACAACGAGAAAAATCCTATTTTTTTACTTCTGTTTTGAATAGACCTAAAATGTCCTATTTTTCTTGTCTGTCCAAAACAGAAGTGAAATATGGGGTATTTATTATGTTTTTTTTTATGTTCCTTATGAAACAGAAGTAAAAAAATCTTTCAAGATAGGGGTAAAAAGTTTTTGCTATAGTAGTGCATCTTCGCTCCTTTCCATAATGATCCCAAACTTTCTGTCAGCCATTCCGCTTTCAACGTCGTTAATCTTGGTCTGATCCTTCCATCCTCCTTTCCTTCTATTGCTGGCATCGCTTCAGCTCTCGCTATCCTCTTTGATGAGCACACACCAAACTCACTCTCCTCCAGTTGCCGGGAAAAGGACGCCGAGAAAAAACACTCACCAAGGGCGGTTTTGGCTCTCATGGAGGAGAGTTTTGCTCCCACAAGAAGAGAGAATTTTAGCTAATACATGAGCATAATTAATAAAAGTATTTTAGAAAAGACAACACTAATTTATTATATATAAATAACTTAATTAATTTTCTTAATATATTTTAATTAGTTAACTAATTTTTATATTAAGAACCGGAGGTAATATAATGCATAAAAAATGCTTTGACTAGTATACCAAGCTATTATTGTGAAGGACTAATCAACTAATTATCATAAATTTTCCTTCAAGAATAATTCAACCTCAACATTTTATATTACACATTGCGATCGTCATCCCATCCGTACGTCAAACTTTAGGTTAATTAAAATAATCCGCAATATATTCCTAAAGAAATTTTATATATTTTTGTGTAACATTTTTCTACGTGTACGGCGCCCACTATTTTATATATTATTCTTTCGCGTTTTGTTGTAATATCAATATCAGTTAGCAGATATCTCTGTAATTTCCTTTCAATCCAAAGTCAAACCCAGGAAATATAGGACTAATTCATCAGAAGGAAAAACGCTAAGCCTAATATAAGGAGATAGCCATTGCCTGTCCTCTTTCCTGTGCCATAAAGTTCAATCTGAGATATCAACAACACTCATCTGCAAGATGGAATCCAATTCGATTTCAAGCTTTGTGAGAATTCTAAGAGAATCCCTTTTCATTTTCCTGAAAAACAAAAGCCTTATGGCCTGCATCGCCTTACTCATCCTCCTCCTTCATTCTTTCCTGGTCTCCTGCAAATTCTTCTCCATCAAGCCTTTAATGAAAGATCTTCACATGGAGGAAACTCGTCTGTTTTTGACGAGTCCACGTAGCTCTCAGCATACCCACATCGTTACCGCGATGACAGCAGATTTACACGAATTAGTAGGACTCGAATGGTTCTTCGCTCTTGCCCTCACTGTGGCCTCCTTATTCTCATCTGCCACTGCTGTTTTAGCTTCAGCTATAACTTATGGAGAAGGAAACATATCTTTCAGAGATCTTGTGTCAACTGCTTCAGTCAAATCTTGTCCAAGGCTGTTTATAACTTGGTTCTACATATTTCTCTTTGATCTTGGTTATATTTTCCTCATGCTCCTTTCGATTTTTCCCTTCGCCCTGAACTTTGCTTCTCCATTTCGCCCAACAATATTCCTCTATGTGATACTGTTTCTGGCGTCAGCTTTTCATATGTACTTGGCAGTTGTTTGGAAGATGTCTATTGTTGTTTCAGTACTTGAGGAGAAAAGTGGAGTTGACTCTTTTGGGAAGGCTTCACAGATTTTGAAGGGATCGAAGTTACAAGGGTTTCTGCTAAATATTATGTTTGGAGTTGGTTTGATTGTATATCTGGTTTTTCAGGACGAAGAAAAGGATTGGAGTATACTCTTCGCTGTTAGTGGATCTGATATTTTGGAACGTTATTTCTGTGTTGAACATGTCACTTATGGTGGCATACACAGTGTTTTACCATAAATGCAAGCAGAACCACGGAGAAGAGGTTGAATTGCAAGGAAGCTTTGAATACATTAAGGTTGCCCATGAGCCAATGATTACAGCATAAAATACCATTATAGGACGACTATGGCCGTAGGAGGGTGATCACAGCGTGTGTGTATATAGCTGCTTGTTCATTACGGGCAGTGCGGTTCGGGTATTACTTTCTCGTATATCCTTAACAGAAAATCTAGTATGTAGCTTGGAAACTATAAACTAAGTCTTATATTATGTGCGGGTGGTGTAGTTTTAATAATGGCTTGAGTATAGTTAAGAAATTATTGATTAATTCCTATTCAGTGTCGCTTTGTGCTTCGACTTGATCCATGTTGGCTTTGTCATAATAGTATTTATAGTATGTTTGTCCCCATTATGATATAAAGTGATCCGAATTTCGATTGCCCATCTCGTCTCCTTTTTGCCTTGTTGTTCCACTTGCAAATTGCTAAATCTTAGTATCAATATCAACCAAATCAATCCTGAGACTTTTAATTAGAATGTCCCAATTGCATGCAGGTAATATTGTCAAACTCACAAGTTAAACAAATTCATGCAAAAGAAACGCGAATCGTGAACTCTTATATTAGTTTATTTTTATTAATAAATAGTTATTAAAAATAAACAATTAAATGGTCAAAATACAAAAAAAGGCAACAAATTGATTTAAATATATTTCAAATTCATCTCAGTGAATTATTTTTTAAAAAATTGGTTATATTATTAAGTGCAAAAATAAAATATCTAAAATGCAAGTTTAATAGAAGAATTCCATGGAACTATTCCTTTTAAAAATAAAGAAATATTATGAGAAACTTTCAAATCATTGAATTATGCTTAACATAGAAATTTTTATGAAATTAAAGGTTGTCTTATATTAGTTTGTGCTTTTTTTTTCCCCTGACCGGACCTTCTTACACATTTTGTAAATCAAGTTCTACCTAATTAAAAATTGTTTATATATTGAGAAAGTTGAAGAAAAAGTATACCATTAAAATTTTATTGATGAAATATTTAAATTTAAATACTAATATTTTGTACAAAATTTACAGAGTACTATCTCTGTCCTAATTATAAAACCTCATTTGTAGTCTATCAACGAGATTTTATAATTAGAGTACCATTTTTATCCTAATTATAAAACATCATTTATAATCTTATAATTAGAATAGGAGGTAGTATTACTTTTTGGGTATAAAAATTTATCAAGTTTTTTTCATCACTAAAATTTTTATTAGATATTTTTTCCCCAATTTTTTATATTTTAATATTTGGTTTGAGCACAGTTAAATTTTGTCGGCTTCAGCTTTGCTACCGGTCACAAAAAGCCCGGAACAGATAAACGGGGCTGAAAGGAAGCCTCTGGAATATGGCCTTCACTATTCTGCCAACGATCAACGGTCGCCTTCCATCTTCTCCTTCACCAAGTTTCCCTAGTCAACATCACTCTGCCGCAATCCTCAAGTAAGTTCAGCTATCGTCTCAGGGGCCTCTGCTTCCCTCCATGTTCTTTATAACACTTGTTTCCAAGACCAATTCTTTCAACGGATGAGAAACATATTTCGAATGAGTTCAATCCTTAATCTGATATTCTTACATGTTTGGGTTTCCATTCTTTTTATAATCACGTTTGTGCTGCCGAAATTTTAATGGAAGAGAACTGAACTGGGCTCTCGAATCTTCCCGGATTTATCTGCAATTCAATTTCCTCAGCCAGTTCTACGAACTTATGTTGGCGACTGGTTATAAAGCATAATTTTTTGTGAAATATGGATCCCCGCCTTAATGATTGATGGGTACTTTATTTATGAAGCGGTACCGTTGCTCATCTTGGTATCATACGTAACCAGTAACTGGGAATGAGTCGAAACATTCCATTAAATAAAATGACTAGTGATTACTTCTCCATTCAGGTGTCGAATATGTGTATGGAATTTGGACAATAATTCCAGCTTGAACTTGCTGCTTTCCTTGGGAATTCTAAAATATATTTTTCTGCTAGATTGATTTTTATCGTACTTTGTTGTAATAGCTTGTCAGTTCTTTAAAAATTGATGTGGCAGAAAATAGCATGGCATGCAGAACAAGAGACTTGGTTTTAATATTGGAATGAAAATAAGAGGGTTCATTCTATTCTGGCAGATTATTGCTAGATTTTGATGAAAACCAATTAGTCTTTGCCATGATGGGTTTTTTACAATAAAAGATATCAGTACCAGTTTGAGGGTTTAGCACCTTCAAGAGCTACTGGTGTTTTATTGCTGATTTCTCAAGAAAAAGGCCTCAAGTGCTCATCAGATTTACTCTGTTCATGACGTACTCTGCGGGAATCTGATAGACCCAGTTAGTTATAGAGCTTTGATTCTATTGAAATCTTTTACGAGCTTATGCCGGTGAAACTGATGTTTGATTAAGATATTTTGTTACTTATTGGCAACCTAATGAAATGGGAGAAAAATAATAATCCCCTTTTTATTTCAGATGGCAATGGAGAAGGGACCAAGATGCAGGCTTAGTTTCCAGCAGAACCAGGGGTCAAGCAATTCGAATATTGGCAAATTCCAATGTACGCATCAAGTCTGGACATCTTTGTGCTTCTTATATATAGTATATGTCGTTTTTATAGACTAGAAAGAGGGGTGATTTGATTGAGTGATTTGATGTAGAAGCATGCGTGGAGATTATTGTTAGAGAAATTAATCTACAACGATTTCTAATAGATATCAATCTTGATGATATTAGCAATTTGCTTGATCTTGGTGTCATCTTTTACTTCTGGAACATGCATGAATTTGTTCCTTACACTCGTGTGGTATGATGACTTATAATATTCTTCTCTGGCGTGAAATGTCTATGAGTAAGAAATACCTCAGATCCATTGTTGACTTAAAAGAACTAACCTTAGGAGAGGAAAGGATCATATGTCTCTTTTTGAATTGCTTATATAAACTGTTGGAACCTATCAAAACGTTAGGTATGATCTCATTCATGGTTTATGCAGTAATGTTGAACCAAACATGCACTTGCAAAATGAGACAAGTGCATGAGTGAAGAAAAATAACAGAAAATTGTGAGAAAAAAGCAGGGAATGATGAAGGTAGAAGTGGTGCTATAGTCAGGAGTTGTGCGCTTTTAAATACTTTGAATTACATTTGTGAATCATTTGGCCCAAAAAATTCCCAGGGGAAGAAAAGGGGGGGGTTGGGGACTATCGCTGCGAACATCAATTAAGTTAATTTCGAGGGGAGACTGACCTGGCATATCCCAGTCAGTCCTGATCTGAGAGTTGGTGTAGTTTCCCCAATGTGATGCATTAAGGATGCTTGTTCTATCGGTTTTATGACTAATGCAATTGCTGCCCACTGGAAATAGACGAGAAAACTGGAGTTGTACATTGAAAGCATTCTTAACCTCCCTAAACTTCCAAGGTTTTCAAACTTGCTAATATCATCTGTGTCTAAATGCTGTGCTATAAAATTTGTGATCATGATCATTTATATGCTAAACATCACCATCAGGCACCACTCTGTTAGAAGATGAGGACTGCTATCTTCTTGAGCAGTGTCTTCCATGGGCCATTGCATGCTGATTTCATCCAAACTACTTGGTTCTTTGCTAGACTAATTCATGCTCAGTTTGGATTTGTGTCATTTAATATGCTATAATGAAATATTTCTCTGAAGTACGTTGAGTTCTATGACCTTCTGTTGCTAATATTTGTTGCCTTCCATCTTTAGCTTGTGTTAAGATAACAAACAAGTTTGTGTCCCCTTTTTCTCCTGTGACATGCTAATTTATTACTATCTGAAGATAAATTGGCTCTGCTCTTTATGGCATGCTATCTTTCCTTTAATAAAATCTTCATTTTTCATTATTGCTGCAGGTTTCTTCGGGGAAAGATGGTTCAAAGAATGATGTGAACATGGTTGATCCTGTAGAAGCCAAGCGATTGGCTGCCAAACAAATGGCACAAATTAAAACAAGGGAGAAACTCAAGGTGAACGAAATCTTTGTTAGGATTTGATATTGTTTACCTATGTGTGATTTGCACACAATTTTATCTCTTTTTTCTCTTCTTTCTTTCTTTGAGGGAAGTGGTATTAGCTAAAATTACATCTTAGGTGAAAATACATCTGTTGAACTCTGGCGGATCTCAAGAGGTCCGGCATGTGTTCCCCTTACATCCCATGAGAAATTCCTGGAATTCAATTGACTTGGAAGTTTCTTATTTTCCAATAATTACTGCCATCAAATGAGCACGGCGATTGGTAACTTGTCTGCTAGTGAATTTTAGTTTCCCAAACACTTGGAAACCTGCTTATAAAATGTATGGGCTTGTCAAACACAGAAATTTCATGTTTATTTCTGTTGTTTATGTTTATAAGGATATTCTTTTCTTTATACACACACACGCCCGCTCAATATCTTTGTATGTGTTTCCATATACGTGATAAATTAGGATGCCCATTTATAAGATGCTTGATTGTTATTTTAGAAGCGTACAAGTTTAGCTAGTCTTTTTCCTCCTACCACTGTTGGGAACCAAAAGTGTTTGTCAGGAACTGCACAGGTAGTCTAGTGGGGCCCCGTTAATCTGTTCAATTGAATCAACTTAATGTTGTGACTGTAGAGGAGACGTCAAATTGAGGCAATCAATGGAGCATGGGCAATGATTGGTCTCACAGCTGGCTTGGTTATTGAGGGTCAAACTGGAAAAAGTATTCTAATGCAGGTGAAAATATGTAAATTTTTTCTCAGATTCGCTCATATCCTCAAGTCATATATGCACACTGTTCTTGCCTGAACACAATTACACAACGCACCCACGCACTCGAAAGCACAAAACACACCCAAGTGGATGAGCATTTGATATACACTCATTTTCTCCTGGGTCCATTCGGCTTAAAATTTACTGGGACGATAGGTAAATATTTTTTTATTTCTTTCAGTTGGCAGACTACTTGAGTGCAATTATTCACTTTTTTGTGCGGTAGACCCTTCCAAGAGGTGCATGGTTACATATTCAAGAACGACAGATTCTTTCGCATTCTTTGCAATCAATATGTACCAGCCATACCAATGAGGTTAACTTTCCTCTGATGTATAAAGCCATGCAACGTGCATCACTCTATTTTCCTGTAACCTGTAACTATTTATCCAACATGATGTTACTTCGGATATAAGATTCTCGCAATGAATTCAGTTTTGCTATATACAAGCCATACCAATGAGGTTAACTTTCCTCTGATGTATAAAGCCATGCAACGTGCATCACTCTGTTTTCCTGTAACCTGTAACTACTTATCCAAGATGATGTTACTTCGGATATGAGATTCTCGCAATGAATTCAGTTTTGCTATATATGGTTATTATTTTCTGGGTCTGCTGGCAGTAATCTTCAGTTCACCGGATGATGTTTCAGCAGCAGTAATTATACCACATTTCACTGCTCTCATATGGCCTCAAAAAAGAAATTAATATTATGACAAGAAACGAAAACTTTTGCACACTTGGGTCTTTACAACTTTCAGCATGTTGGTTAATGATGGCCTTTTTCTTTTTCGTCCCTTGTGTAGAAAAGTTTGTAGGATAGTGCATGTGAGCTTCTAAATCTTGTATTTGGAAGCAAGGTATGGGATGGGAATTGCTTTGGTTTCTTCTCAATGCAGGGATGGATACTCTGGTGAAGGAAATTCGTATTAATAAAACCCAGGCGTAAGTTCATGGTGTTTCTAGAATTTGGAATATTGATGGATCTCTGCTTTGCTATGGAGGAAGATCGGGTTGGAAGATAAACAGGATCAAAATGGGGGCAATAGGCTGTGTGGTCCTGTTTTATTCATAGTAAGGGCAGTAATGCTCTGAGATAAGAGATGGCCAAATCTTCAGTCAATCTAAGTAGCCTCTCTAACTCATCTCAATCCCTTCATCCATGCAAAGAGTGAAGTGCAGAACTCAACTCGTTACAAGAAAAGGTAGAAAGAAAAAATAAAAAATAAATAAACTGAAGAAGAAAATGTCAAGAGTTGTGGTCGGATTCTTATTACAGGATTTGGACTGGAGAAGAAACTTTTTGAATGAACAACGTCTATGGGCTTTTGCATCAGTGACCGAAAAGCGCAATCCCAATGTTGATATCATAAACTAAATGAGGAATGACTGCTTTAATTTTTTCCCCATTTGTCCCATTTTCTCTTGTAAAGGAAAAAGAAGCATAGCCAACAAAATTTATATCCACTAATGGGAAAGGAATTAACAAAGAAAGAATATAACAAGAAAGAAGATAACAGTTACCAATGCGCGCGCTCTACTAAATTTACTGAAAATATCAAGTGTGGGCGGAAACATTCTAGATATAGTTTCCTTCATGGTGTCTGCTGTGTACTGCACACAACTTGAACACAACACAAGACAACTTCCAAACTTCTCTTTTATGAAACCTGTCATGAAAAGAAGTCCTTGTTCTTATCCTATGAAGTCAAAAGGGACGAAAAGTTAATAGTAATTAAATTGGTATTATTGTACCTATTTAATTTTTCATGAGTTCAGACCATCCACATTACAGTTGACCCACACAAAAAAAAAAAAAACCTTCGTTTGAAACTTGAATAATAAATTGACTCGGATTTTTAAAAAAAAACAGAGAAAAAGAAAAGGTTTGATTTGCATTTGCATTTTCATTTCATTTTTGGAGTAAGAACATGACTTGCCGTAAAGAAAGGGGTGGAGGATATATCATATAAGGCAAGAACAACTGGCAATAAGTATAAGTTGAGTTCAGAAATTGAATATTCACATAAATGGAAAGAATAATATGAAACACTGAATGCACAAAAAAAGCATAAGGAAGAAATAAATATATAGAAGGCCTATTGACGCATTGTTAGAATATCTAATTTGGCCAAACACCCGGTTGAGTACTGCCCATGATATTTCAACTGCTTTGAGTTTCTTAGGTTTGCGATTACATCAATCACCTTTTCATTCCCACGAATTTAGTTACGAGAAAGTTCCCTCAAATGGCTGTTCCTTTTTCCTTCATTCTGCCTCCAAATAGCATTTTTCAATTTGTCGGTGTGATTTCCTTTTCCTTTCCAGCTGGCCATAGGATCCACAGTGATCTTCTATATGCTTATATATTGGATCTTTTTCAGAGAGACACAACAGTGTTTTTATTAGCTGATGCGGAAAGAAAACTAGATTTTGAGAGGATAAAGTAGCATTATTTTGAGAAAGAAAATTAAATGAAGATTTGAGATGAACTATTTCAGTATTTGATGATCTACAGGCATCTCTTAACCTATAAAGTTTTCCGTAAATTATAAAACTTAAGATTCAACTTTCGATAAATTTTTTTTTCCAAAAAAGGGGACAACATACTTAAATATTCTGAAAATATCCATAAAGAAACACCCAGTATTTGAAAATTCTTTTTGGTTTTTCTATGCTTTGAAAGTTTATTTTCGTAATAGAAATATTCTAGCTACTATCCATCATTAAGTTTAACTATATTCTTAACCATCAAATTTAATAATGAATAACAGTCCGTGACAAAAATGTTACGAAATAAAATTTTGAAACATATAAGAGTTAAAAAATCTTTCAGGTATTGAGTATTTTTATGTATATTTTTAAGATATTTAAACACCTTATCAAAAAAAAATTCACCTCAAAACTTTTATTTATCAAGTTAGAGTTCAAACCTTTATGACATGATAGACGCCTTGATGGCATGTTATCTTAGAAAGAATATAACCTGAATGTTGATAAGTCAAGAAAGAGGGCCAGGTTGGTATTTGAATAGTAGTGAGAGAGAAGGGATGCAAAGTTTGAAGAAATTGCAGGGAGAGAGAGTAGATAGGTGGGACAATTATTATAAAATCTGAAATAAAAAAAATAATTATTAAAAAGTCCTAATAACCAACAAGATAAACTTTAAAATTATAAATGACAACTACGTACTTGTTGTTAAGAATTACTAATAATTATTTCATTTTTTACCATTATAATTCTACTTAAATACTTCTCCGATCCTCAATATAAGACCTAATTGTTAAGTTGTTTTTTATCTTAAATATATTTATCAGTTTTCTCTAAATTATCCTTATGGATACTCCCTCAACCATAATCAAGTAAAAGAGGAAGATGGGGTATTAAGAAAAGTGATTATGGTATTTTAGAAAAAACGTGTCATATTTTTTATAATTAACTAACTTTTTTAATCTAATCAAATTAGTTAAATAGGTTTTATATTAAAAACTATAGAGATAGATAGATAGATAGAAATAGTAGTTGAAATGGGAGAAAAGACAAGAGAGAAGGCGGGAGTGGGGGGAAAGCAGAGTGATATGGAGGAAGTGGCAAGTGAACAAACGAAGTAGCTTCCTAGGAAAGAGGCATTGTTGGAACAAACCCAACAAAGGATAAAAGATGGAGATGCTCACGAAACTGAAGCTTTCTATCTATCTCTCCGGTCACTCGTATGGAGAAGTTTGTTTTCACTTAAACTCCCTCCTCCCTCACGCAAACCCAATATTTTTCATGCCAAACTCTCTTCAACGTGGCTAATTTCCCCTCCAACCACTTCTTCTTCTTTCACTTACTTTTCTAATCCCATCTAACCCCTGCCTCCACACCCAAAAATTATATATATAAATTTATTGTAAAAAATATCTTTCATATTTGAAGGGGGAAATTAAATATATTATTTAGTGATGTTAATCCTCTCTAATTTCCCTTTTTCTCTTTCCAATCTCTTATCAAATCTCGGTGGGGTCAGGTCACTTTTGGAGCTCGTGTTTTAATTTGAGTTGGCCACCATGTGGACGAATGGACGTGGCCCTTATCCTTGACCGACGTGTTGCGTCCTTGTTCATACGTGCAGGCTTAAGGAATCTTCAGCTTCAAGAAACAAATATTCCCTTCTTCTTCTTCTTCTTTTTTGCCGATATTGAATTTGAACATGAAATTAAATTATTATTTTTTTGCCACCAACGGAACATGAAATTAAATTATAAAACATATACTACTAATATATATATATATGATTATTTGAGTTTTCCCACCCAACAAGATTGAGAGAAGCAAGTCAAATTCTTCAATTCCCGATGTGTAACGTTTCTTAACCATGAATCTAACATTTTGTACCCATACATCGATCTTGATATCAGGTTCATGAACTCTATATTTAATAGAACTATAATAACTTTTTTTATTTACTGAACTATTCGACTATTAAGGACAACGTAAAAATAAAAAACACGGTAAGATAAAAAAAATGATACAAATATTGAAAATTGTTTTACTTGATCTTCATTGATCATCTAATATGATGCCAGTAAAAAAAAATACTACGATGAATAATAAGTAATAAAAAATTGTTTATATATATCCTCTTTTTTTTTTACCAGGGTTTATATATATCCTTAAAAGATATACATCTATATATTTAAATAATGAAAACATGTCACTTCACTATATTAAATGATCAATCTAAATTACTTATAGGTTATAAAGATATTTCTCAAAATTTATTCCTCGCATAGATAGATATTTCAAAACAAAAACTAATAGAAAAAAACTGAAAAGTCCTCTATATATAGAAAATTTTAATGATGAGAATGAACCGATACATTTTTATACACAGAAAATATCGATAGTCTGCAAATTCTATATACACATAGCACTTACGAGTATTCTTTAGATCTCACTCATCGATAAATTTTCAAACTTTCGATGGGAGACTTCTGCCCCACTGTTTCAAAGTTATAAGCCTTTCATTAGTATATTCAAATTTTCTACTGAAATAGAAAACTAATAAATGAGCTTTGCATTTAGGGTAAGGCGCCTCCTCCTACAGATTTGGATTCAAATTCTGGGAATTAATTCAAAGAGGACTCCACACCTGCCCCACCAGCATGAGATTATGTCCATCTACAAATTGTAATTTTGGAAAAGAAAAAGGTAAGCAATATCGTTAATCAAAGACAGGTGGACAATTTGTGTATGTTAACATATGCATTGGTCTACCTAATGTCTGGCTTTTGTGTGGTACAATGTTTCAAAGATGCTTCAAGCAAACCCGACATGAAATGAAGCACCTTATAAAACCCTAGCTTTTTTTTTTTTTTGGGGGTACTATTAAGGATAAGAAGAAGAAGATGATCATGTATTATTCTTACTGTTACAGGTATATAAAGCCAGCCTGCTAACCAACATTGTTATCATAATTCATAAGGTTTTGTTCAGCACATGCCGGCCAATCAGAAATAACGCAATGTTTAACGGAACATCTCTCATGATTTTTCGTTTGGTTTTCGGTTCATGCGTATCATTGGGGTTTCCAAGGCAAAATGTTGATA